CTTCTTGTCTTGCCTTCAGGTGCTTTGGGGAATAAGTTGGCCTCCTCTTTGTGGCAGCCCCTCAAATATTGAGTGCTATCTTGTCCCCCCCCCAGTCCTTCTTTTGACTAAGCTAGACATACCCAATCCTTGCTATTGTTCATATATTTTAGCTTCCAGCCCCCTAATCTTCTTTGTAGTAGCATACTTCATTTGGGTCGATAACATACCTTCCCTGCCTGAATGAGTGGGATGGGCTAATGTGATGGGGTGAAGCCAGTTCAATAGGTAGCTTGGCCCTATGCCAGAGATGGGTTCTGACCAGTTCTGGAGAACCGGTAGCAGAAATTTTGAGTAGTTCAGAGAACCGGTAGTAAAAATTCTGACTGCCCTGCCCCCATCTATTCTCTGCCTCCCAAGTCTCAGCTGATTGGGAGGAAATGGGGATTTTGCAGTAACCTTCCCCTGGAGTGGGGTGAGAATGGAGATTTTACAGTATCCTTCCCCTGCCACGCCCACCAAGCAATGCCACACCCATCAAGCCACACCCACAGAACCGGCAGTAAAAAAATTTGTAACCCATGTATGCCATGTAGAGCTTTATAAATTACAGCCAACAGCTTCCTAATCACCGCACGCCTATCCCAAACAATTACTTTTTACTTACTTACATTGACTGTCTCAATGCTGAAAAAACAAAACACAGCACAAAATGATGAAAGATGAAACAGGATAGAACACTGAACAAACAAAAACTACAATAGCAAATTTTTTAAAAAATAGATTGAAATCAGAAACGAACAACAAAGAGATGAAAAGATAGCCTTCATTAATCCTTTAGCCTGAGGTCCAATAAGACTACAGATCTTCAGCATGGAACAGAATGTTTTAAGAGAGAACATCAGGTGGATTCCTTGAAGATCTCTAGGTGACTTTAAGCAGGTTGATATGTTATCAAGGGGCTTTTCAAATCACCTCTTTGTAAAGCATGCATTCTGTGGTCCTGTACTTCCTTCCTTATCTGAAGTATATTCTCTTTAACCTAGAGAATCCTTCAGAGAAGGCACATATAGAACTGTACTATTATGCAGGCTACTTCTGCTGATTGCCATCTGCCTGCAATTTGGCAGATCGACTCTCACCAGACTCAAGATTGACTCAACCTTCCATCCTTCTGAGGTGGGTAAAATGAGGACCCAGATTGTTGGGGGCAATATGCTGACTCTGTAAACCGCTTAGAGAGGGCTGTAAAGCACTGTGAAGCTGTATATAAGTCTAAGTGCTGTTGCAATTATTACTATTAGCCAATCACCAGCATCAACACATCAATCAGCCAATAGGAAGGCACCACATAAACACAACTCACAGAATAGCCCAAAGTACCTATTCCAACAGAGAGAAGTTCCTTGAAGATGGGCTCCAGCACGAATCTGAAAGCTCGGAAGTGTAAAACTCTGGTCCTGGTGACTGACCCAGATTCAACCTTGCATCATTATTCTGGGACATGTATATTTCCTTTCATTCGTGTACTATTAGGATTTTACAGATAACAATTGATACTTTGAATTGGAACATGAACTGGCCACAAGCACAAACAGTACAGCAAAGGACTGGATATCAAATTAGACTTTTATAGGCAATTGTTTTATTTTAATTATAGATAAAAGATAGCTGTTAGCTACATTCCATTTCACTGGGAACAAGCTTCCTTGGAGCTTATGGGTTTTCATTTTAAATAGACATATGTAGACATTATTTATTGTTGAAAATGTTGTTATCATTAGAAAATTTACTCTGGTATCAGATCCAGCTACTTTCATCACATGGCTTTAATATTTTTATATCATTAAATGATCTTAACCAAAATGTCTTTGCTGTGAGAAAGCAGTTTTTAAAATATGTAGGAACTCCTTCATTTTCCCGCTTTTCTTTACTGTCTAGCTATCCTAAGTGAAATATATTTACATTATATTCAGTTGCTTCCAGCCTATTAATATACTATATTGATCTCCACTTTATCTGATTGTTCAGATGTTAATGGTTTCCATTAGTCCTGCTTTCTAATTTCCAGAGAATCTGATCATAATAAATCTTCCTTAAATCCATTTGCAAGGACTTCCAGATAGAACCCACTGAACTGAGGGTGATGGAGTTTTCTAGAAGACAAGATCAGGCCAATATAATTTGATAGCATAAAATGGAGACTTTTTTAAAAAAAATCTGCATTTCTCAGAGCTCTGAAGCACAATACTTTGGTTGCTATCAAATGGATTCAAGTCTGGGAACTATTTTTAATAAGCCATGTTCTGAATAAATCACAGAGACCTGCAAATACGTGTGCTTGGCTTTCCTTTTTTTTCTCTGTAAGAAAGTAGTCAAATCACTCATCTAGAAACTATTTCTTAGAGGAGTAAATAACCTATTTAGTTTCAATGGAAGATTTAAGAGCTAATATTGTAAGACAGAAAATAATGTACATTTTCTACTATAACGTTCTATATAGCTCTCTAGATGATACAGACAAATACAGATATTTCCACACACCTTCATAGTCCTGCCTTAACCACTTTTGCTCTGAGTTAAACAGTCCCAGTTGCTGTAGTCTTTCCTGTTATGATACTTTAGCTTCTCTAATCCTTAACATTTTGGGCATTTTTTTCACATTCTACATCCATTATTCCAAATGTGATCATATCATTGGTTTATTGATAGGATGGTAGCTTGATTTTTAATCCCTGATCTTGTCTAGGCTGGGCAACTAAGTTGGATCAGCTCTGATTAGACTTGGATGAGAGATCTCCATCTCTATGTAAGCCAGACTGGAAATACAGGGGAAAAAATCCAGACAAAAGCAATGACAAACCATGTTTAATTATTCCTACCAATGCATGTATCTTTTTTTAAAAAAAAAAACAACAACAACCCATCACAGCAGTAGCACATTGGGATGGTCTTCCCATTGAACTATTCAATAAAACTGTAAAAGTGTTTTCTTCCCACCTCACTTTATTCCCAAAATCTAATTAATGCCAAGTCTGATATTTGGCATTGCCATGGTACAAGCCAAGTCTGAAGTGTTGTTGTTCCAATGAGTCTTACTTTGCAGTTAAAGTTTGCTAACTCAAGTCTGAAGTGGAAGTCAGAATGTACAGAATCCTCCTCCTCCTCCTCCTCCTCCTCCTCCTCCTCCTCCTCCTCCTCTTCTTCTTCTTCTTCTTCTTCTTCTTCTTCTTCTTCTTCTTCTTCTTCTTCTTCTTCTTCTTCTTCTTCTTTCTTCTTCTTTCTTTCTTCTTTCTTCTCTATCTCCTCCTCCTCCTCCTGCTCCTCCTCCCTCCTCCTCCTCCTTCTTCATAAAATCTGCTATCATTTGCCATTGGAGTGACATGTTTATGGAAACCCTTTACCCTGTTTGATCCCACTTAGTTAAATGAAGATGGCTGCATTTTTTAAATCTACTAAGTGCTGCAGTGCATTTTTCATTGATGTATGCCGAGCATCCATGCAGCAGCAGGAAAATGAAGCCAAAAGAAAGAAGCAGATCAGTTCCAGAAAAAATGAAGCTAGAGAGACAAATATATGTGCTCTGGGGCAGGATGAGAATTCAAAGGGGAGAGACTTCATATTCAGTGAAATCTCGCCCCTTGCATGAATTTGAATTTGCATGAGTTTCCCAAGAAAATAAAAATATGGGAGGAAAAAGGCTCATCTTCAGGTAAATTCCAAGCTCAGTTTGAATCATTTTCCTGGATTCAATTGAATTTACCTGGATTCAAGCACTGAGTTTGAATCCAGATAAAGTCCTTTTCAACTCTATTATTCTGTTATTCTTTCTATGATCCAATATATCCATCCCATCAAGCCCAAAGAAAGTCCGGAATAGTATAGAACAGTGATCGCTAACCTTTTCGACACCAAGTGCTGACAACGCACGCGCACCCAAATGCAATGCACGTGCCCCCCCACTCCCCGCACACGCACATGGATCTCCAACATGCGCCCCACCCTCTGTACATGCACGGCAGAGACCAGAAAACCACCTGGCCAGTGGGAGGCGTGCGCACATGTGCGGCAGAGCTGAGCTGGGGGTGACAGCTCGCATGCCCGCAGAGAGGGCTCTGCGTGCCACCTGTGGCACACGTGCCATAGGTTCACCATCACGGGTATAGAATCTCTTTCCACGGCAGGGAGTTGGACTAGAAGACCTCTAAGGTCCCTTCCAACTTTATTATTCTATGTTTTAAATAGATCATAGGGTTTACTTGAAATGTTGTTCTTCCCAAGTAATTTCTTCCATGTGCTTACTTATATGTATAAATTAAAATTGAATGCCTTAACCATATGAAAAGAGAAAGTGTTCTGCCCCAGCTCCGGATTTCCTAGGTTATTGACACACACCAATGATCCTTATCAAATTTATTAAGTAGCAAGAATAAACAAGACCGGCAAAGATTGGCAACCAGCCCAGAAAACAAGATATGATAAACCAAAATACTCTGATAATAAATACGAGTTGTTTCCAGCAAGAAAGCACTAGCTGCGTGCAACTTAAATAGGCTAAGGGAGTGGCCAATTATCCTCAAGCCCTACTCTCAAGTAGACCTCCTCCTCCTGAGTAGCCACTCCTGCCTTTTGGCAACCCTGCGTGCTTGAGCATTGAGGAGAGGCTCCTCCACTTTGCTCTCTCCACTTGAAGGAGCCTCTGGAGGTTCTGAAGGCCCTGGCTGAGTCTCTGCCTCTGGCACCACATCCTCTTCAGCCTCTTCGCTGTCCGACGCGAGCACCAGCTGCGCAGGCTGCTGGCGCAACACCACACCAGCCTCCTCGTCATTGGGATCAGCCACAATCCGCGCAGGCCGCTGGCGGGCCACAACAGAAAGAGATAAATTTCTAAGAAATGGGAAAATATGGATTAGCCATGTTTTGGAGGGGAAGTTGTGGGAGGCAATGGGCTATCTTTGCTTAGGGCTATTCTGTTGATCATTGTTGGTGCATCAAGAGCAATAGTTAAAATCTCAGACAGGTTTTTCTCAGTCCTGAGTTTGAATTTAATGAATATAAAATATTACAGAAGTGCCCAAAAGGATTTCAACATCCAATTATTGTGCTCCCATGACTTGAAATACTGTCTTTGCTTGTTTTGTTTTACTGCTTCTCATTCTCATAGTATTTACATGCAGCAAAATCTAGTAACAAGAAAAACAAAAATCAAACAATAAAATATCTAAGAACACTGGCAAAAAAAGAAAATCCTTAGCCACTCTAGAAGTGCTCTCAATTTTCAGCGGGAGTACTCCACACTGATACTATAATGTTCTCTACATATTTGATTATCTGGCAAATTAGTACTAATTTCAAGATTGCTCTTAGTCACGCATCTTCCTATGTGCTCCGGGGAATATGCACATGTTTTAATATGAAAAAAGGAGAATGTTAGCTCATCAACCATATAAGATGAGGTAGTTAGAATAGCAGCCATTGTTTATTGTATCTTTAGGCAACATATAATTCTGAAAGATAAGGTACAAATAATAGCAATTCTCTTTGTATAAAGGTATAGATGACTAAAAATAGAACTTGTATAATTTGTAAACCACTGGGCAAAAATGAACTTGTCATTTGGACCCAGACTAAATGGTTTTACAAGGACAACCTTTTTTTTAGACATCTCAACTTACAACCACAGTTGAACCTAAATTTTCATTGCTAAACAAGGCAGTTGTTAAGTGAGTTTTGCCTCATTTTTACAACCTTTCTTGCCACAGATGTTAAGTGAATCACTGCAGCTGTTAAGTTAATAACATGCCCTCCCCTTGACTTTGCTTATCAGAAGGTTGCGAAAGGTGATCATATGACCCCGGGATACTGCAATCATCATAAATACATGCCAGTTGCCAAGCGTCCAAATTTTGATCATCACATGACCATGGGGATGCAGCAAGAGTTGCATGAAAAATGGTCTTAAGTCACTTTTTTCAGTGCCATTGAAAAACTGTCACTAAATGAATGGGTTGTAAACCAAAGACAACAATTGTTAAAGCAGCCAAAACTTTTTTTCAGTCTCTCACATGTATTTTTAAAAAGTCGGACTGTTTTAATCCATAACAAGAAAGTGAAAAGAGTATGTTTTTAAAGTAAAGGTAAAGGATATAAGAGCTGTGATGGAGCAGTGATTAGAATTAGTGGTGGGTTGCTACCAGTTCACCCCAGTTCAGGCGAACTGGTAGCAGCAGTGGCGGGAGGCTCCGCCCACCCACCCAGATGTCATCAAAAATGCTCTGTGCATGTGCAGAAGCGCCGTGCACTCGCAAAGCGAGCGAGCGCTCCTGCTTGCTCCCAATAGAGAACCAGTAGTGCCGGGATTTGAAACCCACTACTGGTTAGAATGCAGTACTGCAAGCTACTTCTGCTGACTGCCAGCTGTCTGCAATTTGGCAGTTTGAATCTCACCAGGCTCAAGGTTGACTCAGACTTCTATCCTTAAATGAGTGTGAGTCTAGGGGACGGGGCTTATCTCTGTTTCTTGCCCGAGAGAGCCAGCATTGTCCAAAGACATTTCTGTGGTCATATGGCCAGCTTGACTATACGCCAAGGCGCACGTAACATTGTTATCTTCCCACCAAAGTTGTACCTATTTATCTACTCGCATTTGCATGCTTTCGAACTGCTAGGTAGGTAGGAGCTAGAGAGAGAAATGGGAACTTACCCCACTGCAAAGCGCTTGGGTCTCAAACTCAGGCTGTCAGCTTTCCAGCTGACTAAGCTGAGTGTCTTTACATTCATTCGCATCTTTCAGTCTCAAGAGACTAAGGTATCGTGCTCTGGAAAGAGGTCCTAAAATAGCATCTAGTGTGACTAAAAAGGCCAATTCAAGAGTAGCAATCTCTTCCACACTGAGGACAGAAAGACACTGATCTGCCCTCAGTGTCTTTAACCACTGAGCCATTGCATCTTCTGTTTTTAAAGTAAAGATTTTAAAAGATGGATATCAATAATGAGCCTGTTAAAAAGACACAGTGGTGAGAAATTCCAGTCCTACGAAGATTAGTTTCCATTCCATCTTAGATGCCAGTGTTGGCCCTGTTTGCACTCCACCCCCACTATCTGCTATTCAGAAAGGTATTTTGGAAGAGTCTTAAATGGGGGCCATGGAATTTGGGATCTCAGGACCAGCCATAGTTAATGAACAACCAGAGTTTGGTAATCTGCTTTCTTCTGCTTCTCATAAGATTGGAAAATGGTCAACCATCTGGAATCCATATTATACAGTTTTGGACGGTGTTCAACTTCAGAGAAGGGGTCATATGTTTCACAGGCCTGGTCACCTGATAAAGGCTCCGTGAGTCAAAAACATTTTCAACAGCAACTTATAATAGATGCTTTGATCCCATTCACTCCCTTCGTTTCCCCCCACATTTCAAAACTATACCAAGATATGTGCTTGATTACTGATGGAGGAAGCCAAGAGAAGCCTAGACAGTTCTCAAACAAGCCATTTTGTTTTACCCAAACTTCAGAGTGTTGTGTGATTTAAAGCACTCAGCTCTCTCCTCCTTCTTAAACAGCTGCTTTTATTTTTTATTTTATCTTTTTAGCATTTATAGACAGTAGAGGGAGCTGTTGGTATTAGTTTTGGCGCCCTGGTTCCCTGTTGCCGCTTTTCCTTTGTCGTTTAATTCGGTGTTTGAATTCGAGCCACAGTTTTAAATACGTTGGCATTAATATGCAAAATGGAACATGGAAAAGGAGATAAATTCCTCTAAACCTTCAACATTTAGGAAGTTTTTGTGGGACATTTTTTTTTTAATTTTTCATCTAAATTCAGATGTCAGTAATATTGGCTATTCTAATTACAAGAAACTCTTAGCTGATTCACTCTGTAAAAAACAACAACAGAGTAATATACACTTTTTAAAATAGAAGAAAAAGAACTTAAGCTGTTTTGTCAGTTAGGAATGCTTCCTCCCCCCTCCCCCACCCCTCAGTTTCTGAAGAGGGATTAGAAGGAGCACGGGAATTTTTAGTTTTATTTTGGGGGGTCTTTGGGGGATCATTAAGAAGGTAAAATTTATGGCAGGTTCAAAACCACATTCGTCTTTTGGTAAAGCCCACTTGCTCAATTTGTCACTGTCAATGGACTGAGACCAATTTATACCCACCAGAAAACATGCCATTTGAATCATATCCGTTTACTGAAATAATACAAGTAAATCTCACAGATGCATGCCATTTTCACATATTATTTTGGAATGGGACATCAGGTTTAAAAGTAGCCAATTTTACAGCCAATTGCATATTCCTGCTTCCCCCCCCCCCTTTTGTAGAGCATGGAAGTCTAATAAGCTGGTAGGGAGCCAGAAAGGACAGTGTCGAGCAGACATTGCTTCAAAACTAATGTGGAAAAAAAGGAGTCAGAAGAGAAAGATTAACTTGCTGGGGGATTTGACTTTTTAGTTGCTGCTGCTGCTGCTATTGTTGCTTTTTAGGTCTTGAACCATTCTCTCCTACTTCTCATCTAATATAACATGAATTGATAGGAGCTGAGGCCAGAGGCGTCTGCTGGAAAGGGGGAACCATCTTCATTTATTTGACACTCCCACACAGATGCTCCTGGCCTAGGACATAACAGTGACAAATGGCAGAATCCAGGTCTTATTTAGCTTAGTCTGATAAACCATTAGGCGTCAAGCAAGATGATGTAGATAGTAAGGAAAATGACCTGGAAAAAATATGCAAGAATTGTTACCAAGGCAAAAGAAGAAGAAGGAGGAGGAGGAGGAGGAGGAGGAGGAGGAGGAGGAGGAGGAGGAGAAGGAGAAGGAGAAGGAGAAGGAGAAGGAGAAGGAGAAGGAGAAGGAGAAGGAGAAGGAGAAGACGAAAAGGTCAAAATATTATTTGAACTTTGGGAAACAAAATAATATTCAGAAGCATCTCATGCAAATGCCTTACTGATTCACTGGGGTATCAAAACAAGGGTAAGGATAGTATAATCAAACTTGCCAAGTTTCTGTTATTGTAGCTTATCTCAATAAAGTACAGTTCTAGGCTTCCTATGGAGTTGATTTTCTGGTCCGGTCTACCTAGTGGGACTGACAGGTTACTATAATCCATACACAAAGAAAGCTACTGTACCTCCAATCTTGATTTTGAATCAAAGGAAGCACTTGGGCACCTGCTAAATACACATCAGTGGCACGGGAACATTTTTTTGATGAGTTAATAATCTCACATCAATAGTGAAATGATGTGAAGCCAATAGTGACAATAATGTTTCTTATTTCATTCAAAATAGAATACCAGGCATCTCCCTGAAAAGGACCCATGCAATCAGATTCATTCATTCATTCATTCATTCATTTATTCATCCAAAATATTGTGTCAAGCCTGCCATTTCATCTAAAATTTCCAGATCCACCTTAACCAGTACAGGACAAAGATCCTGGGAAAACATCCTTCTGTGCTGCTTGTTTGACATGACCACTCCTCCATCGGAAATGAGAACGATATGTATAGGTCTCATTTAGTAGCATTTGCATTACAGACCTAGACATTTCAGATCACTGAAATTATTAATTGGAGTGTTTCTGCAGCCTTGATTATTCCTACCATCTTCCCGGACAATTCTCTTATACGGCATTCTAGGATGATGCAGAAATTCAAATCATCACTAGAGTCACCAAATAGTCAACTTTACAGAAAACACCAACCTGTAATTGGACCAACAATCCAGATCAAGTGCTAGATTTAAAGATAAGAAGCCAAAAGAAAGAACAGGAGAAACATTTAGCATCTGAACAGCAGATTTCATCTGCTCACTATCTTCCTCAAAATTAATTATTCATTAATAAATGTCTCCAAATTTGCGGCTTGGTCTATAGATCAACATATGTAACTGTTATATGAACATATAGCTAGAGAACCATTGTAGCCTAGTGATTAAAGTGCTGGATTAGGAGCTGGGAAAGCCAAATTCTAGACTTCCCTTAGCTACAGAAGTCATCTGGATGACTTTGAGCAAGTTGTTCCCTCCTAGCCCTAAAGCAACATAAGGCTATGCAACAGGTTGCCTGGAAAACAAAACCTTTTGTTGCATCATGCATCGATCATCTTCACTGTAAGAACTAAGCACGTACAAAACACAACACAGGTCCTTCCAACCAAGTGGGATAAATAGTAAGAAAAACAA